TTAAATTATCTCAACATCCAATTTTAGAAACTTATGAGCATTTGGAGATCAAATCAAATGTTCCAGATTAAATCTTTTTGACCTGCGAAAATAAGTGAGATATATCCAAAAGAAATCTCATAGAATTAAATCAAATCTGTCAAGAATACGACTATAGTCTGTACTGATGTTCTGGTACAATATGTCACAACATTTGTCAGAACATCTGTCTTCAATGTTGATAGACCAACAAGTTAGGATATTTCTCCCAACATCTTTCTATGAACCATGTTTTAGCAAAATTTATGCCAATCCTAAAACTGCGGAACTAACATTGTATATCCATTCTCTACAAAAACACTTTCACTTTTTATGGAATTTTTAATTTTCATATACTCAAAAAATTCCCTTCCATTATAAATGCTTCATTATCAATTAAACTCTCCATGATTTAATATTAATCCGACTTCACTCTATACTTCCATTTGAATTAAATTTCCAAGTATACCCATCTTCCTTCACTTCAACAGACAATAGGATTGCTAAAGTGTTCACCATAACCATCTCATCAAATATTTCCTTGATCGTTTATCTTTTCCATTCCATGCCATTCAGATGAATAAGATCATTCACACATATACTTTCCACCCTCAGGGTGATCGAGCTTGTAACAAAAGAAATTTCTTGATATCTTAACCATGAATTTTTCCATACATTGATGTTTCTCCCACCCCCACTCTCCATCTCAATCCACCTTTAACCACTATCCGTGAAGCATGGATACTAAGTCATATGAAGCTCGGGTTATGACAAGATTGGCACCCAAAAAATATCATCTTGGAAAATATCTAAATTTGAAGACTCTAGCCACTATAGTGTCATGATTGGTTGCTAACTTCCAACCTTGCTTCCCTAGCATAGCCAAGTTGAATACCTAAAAATGTCAAAATCCCATTCCACCATATTCTTTTCTTAAAGTTAACTTTTCCCAAATCAACCGACTTATATCTTTGTCGCTGCCACTATTAGAGCCCCACCAAAATGAGTTTAACATATGTTGGATCTTCTTTCATAGTGTTGTTGGGAGAAGAAAAGTACTCATACAATATGTTGGAATAGATTGTGCTACAAGTTTATGAGTACATCTCTTCCTGACTTGGACAAATGTTTACGCGACCAACTTTGAATGCAATTTCAAATACATTCCCTGATATAATTAAAAAATATATTTTTCTTCCAATGACCAATGACGGCAAACCAAGGTACTTTCCTGAACCCACACTTTCTGTCACCTGTAAAATACTACAAATTTTCTCCTTCACATCCTCTGTCCTATTCTTGTTATAATATATTTTTGACTTTTACATATTAATGGCTTAACCTAAAATTTCCTCGTAGATTATTGGAGTGCCTAACATAGTTATAACTTCTCCTTCTTCGGCAATGCAAAAAAGAAAACAAAAATAAAAAACTGATTATTGAGGAGTAAGGTTGTTTTTTAAATTTATATGAACAATTATTTTAGTTAAACAAAGTTTAAACCTAATCTTTAGAAAAAACTTTCTATTTTCACCAAATTTAAACCTTTGGTAATTTGATGTAGCATCTAGCTTAGGTGTTGCGACGTCTCTCAGACCGCTCCACTCTTCACCCCCTCTAAGGTTAGAGTGTTGTCGGCACTACATAAGTGATCCATTTGAAAACCCTTTTTTGTTCAAGAGATGTCACAGTTCCTTTGTTTGTTTCTTCTAGCCAACAGTTGAGTTCTGGAACCTTTAACCTGCCCGATTCTTCAATGTCTGTAAGAACAAGAATGGTTTTGTATCTAGCGTTAAGTTTTGATGATAACTGCACATGTTATTTCAGAGAACAATTCAATACTTTATGGTTTCTGTCTAGTGTGTAGCTGTTGCTAAACTGGATTTAAATCAAGGCGTGTGGCGTCATCCGACTTTGATCTAAACATTTTGAAAGAATATATATGTTATGTACAAGTTAAAGTCAATATTTAGGAACGTTCTTAGTGAAATGGTTCTGAAGAACAATTTTGACGGTTGGTTTATTCTTCGTCTTGAGATTGTTGGTTCGTGAATCAGTCCATTTAAATGATTGGTTCATTCTCCGTATTAAGAAGTAAATGCTCACACAAGCGTGTCTTTTACTATTTAATTTCGCAACCGTATGCGGGTTTGTTCAATCTTTATATTTATTTTCTTTTGACAGGATCTTAGATAGTCTCGTCATTTTTATCATCTTTTCTTTTATAATATATGCTTTTATTTTAAAAAAATAATAGTTTTAGAAAGTTGTGATTTCATTCGGAGATAAAAAAAACACGTCAGTATAATTTTTATAAAAAAAAGTTATTTAATAAAATAATGATTATTTAGAGTTAAATTTGTATATATTTTCTATAATATGTTTTTCCTGGTTGAATAAAATATTTAAGGTCATTTATCAAAAAGTAGAATAAAATTTAATAAAAAATGAATCAAATGTTTGACAAATTATGAATCAAAATATATATTAAAATTCACTCTATAAAATAATAACAATAACTTTTATTTCCATCAAAATCAATTATCAATTAAATTGATTTTTTTAACTTAAATCTAAATCAAAGCATTTTCGGTCGATGTAAAAATATATTATACATATATTCAATCAAAATACTTTAAGGAACGAAGATTCGAGAAATATTGACTTTGATTTCTGATGAGAACAATGTTTACATAAATCACATATCTCTGAAGTCGAACTCCGAATTACTACATTTCCCTAACCAAAGATTAAAAGACTAAAAAATAAAACCTTTAAAGTACCAAATCATAACAGTAATTTAAAATTTGCACGTTAATTTTCCAAAATACATCGTTGTTATTAATTGACGGTATAAAAATAATTTACACAGTATATCATCATTTCTGTCTTTGATCAACAATAACGTCAATTTTACATAATTAAAAATCAAACTCACACTAAATCATTTTATTTTATTATTATTTCAATCAATATTTATTATTTCTCCATAGTATTATAAAATTCCAATAAACTTTTCTTCTATTAAAAAAACAAATTGTTATATATATATATATATATATATATATATATATATATATATATATATGCAAAATATAAATTTGATGTAGATTTTTCTCTTAACTTCTCTTTCTCACAACGACAATTTATTATTTTTTATATTATTATCTTTTAATTATTTTATAAATAATTTAAAATTAAATTAAAATTTAATAAAAATATAATACAGTTTATATATATATATATATATATATATATATATATATATATATATATATATATATATATATATATATATATATATATATATATATATATATATATATATATATATATATATATATATATATATATATATATATATATATATATATATATATATATATATATATATATATATATATATATATATATATATATATATATATATATATATATATATATATATATATATATATATATATATATATATATATATATATATATATATATATATATATATATATATATATATATATATATATATATATATATATATATATATATATATATATATATATATATATATATATATATATATATATATATATATATATATATATATATATATATATATATATATATATATATATATATATATATATATATAAAGAACTAATTACCAGGGCAAAGGGGGTCAGACCAAAAATCTCATAAATTTTTTAGTTTAAATTCTCATAGTATATATTTATTTGTTTATTATTTAAACTTAAATAAGTTTAAAATTCAACTACACCATATAATTATTTTTTTTATATGGAAAAAATAACATAAATTTTTGAAGAATTTAATTGATATACACTGACAGTGTAAATATTTTTTATACTATAAGTTAATTAAACATATGATTTATGTGAAATATTTGACTTTTATTTTAACCACTTGAGAAAAGTAATACCATCAGATAGTTATAATACTTTGACAATGTAAAACTTTTTACACTAACAATGTATAACAATTAATTTCATTTCTAAATAGTCTTCTAATTAAAATTAAAAATTTTCTATTTATATTAACAAAAAAAATTAAAAAATCATTTAAAAATTAAGCTATATGACAATTTGATGAGTTTATTTTAATTGATAATCAAGATAATATTATTTAATCTTTGATTTAGTTGGATACCGATTTATATTAACAAAAAAAATCAAAACAACATTTAAAAATTAAGTTATATGACAATTTGATGAGTTTATTTTAATGGATAGTCAAGATAATATTATTTAATCTTTGATTTAGTTGGATATCGATACGCTTATTTAATGAAATATTCACATTCAATGTCTTGTTATTTTTTATTTAAAAATAAGTTAATATTTTAAATTAATTTATACTAAAGATACTGAATACTTAAGAATTTGTTTATTATTTATTTAAAAAAAAAGTTAAATTACTTTATCAAAAAAAGTTAAATTATTTAGTATTATCAATTTAATAGATAATAATCAGATAGATAATTACTATAAAAAATCAAATATTTATAAATATTTAAGGTTAATTATAATTAATTATCATTTTAAAAATATTTTCAGTGATAATTGATATGAATTAAATTTATATAGATATAAATTGATTTTTTGTCTAAAAAAGTAAATTAATTATATTCGATTTATTATATTAAATAAATATTTAATTTCTAAAAATTAGTACTATATTCTAAAACAAATCAACACGTTATTAGTTAACTTAACTCACTAAATAATCTCCTTTTTACTGAACGGTACTTCGGTAAATTTGTTCCAATGGAACAGTCGTAACCTCTACCCCTATATATACGCTTACAAACCCAAATCCCAATAGAGATGAACAGAAACTAAAACTGAAAAAGAAAAAAAAAACTTCCAAAACCTAAAACCCTCTATTCTCTATATTCGCCTTCCAAAATGTCGTCAGTACCGGCGACAACGAAAACTACCACCGCCGCAGAATATTCGCCTTCCAAAATGTCGTCAGTACCGGCGACAACGAAAACTACCACCGCCGGATGCGGCGGAGACGATGACATGCAGGAGATCGCTTTTGCAAAGAAAGGCTGTATGTGTTCTTGGATTCCGTGTTTCTCATCAGAAACGTCTCCGTCGCTGTGGGAGCCAATGCAGTTAAAGTTTTATGACAATAAAGAGAAATTGTGGTGGTTCCGTGGATGGATGAAGGTACGTGAGTGGTCAGAGATTGTTGCTGGTCCAAGATGGAAAACGTTCATTCGACGATTCAATAGCAATAAGAATCGTAACGTTAATGCTAAACAAGTTTCGTTAAACTACGATCCGTTAAGTTACGCTCTCAATTTCGATGACGGAGATGGTGGAAGCGGCGGAGAAGATAGTCATCTTCACGGTTACGGCGGCTTTTCTTCGCGTTTCGCTTCTGTTCCGGCGTCGGCGAAATGTTCGATGGATCTAGGGAAAGATGCGGCAGTAATCACGTGAGTGTCACGTGCAGCGAATTTTGGAAGTGAATTAACGGAGCGGCATTGCGGTGGGTAGGTTACTGTTTTACTGAGATTGGTGCGCGTGGTGCGGAAAATTGATTGGTTGTTGAAGACGGTGTTAGGGAATTGTGAAATTGAACGAGGCGAATTTTGTGCGTTAAATTTGAAGCTTCGTTTTCACAGTATTTAGTTATTGAAAGTAGTTTTTGTGTATTTTTTAAAATTTGATACATTAGGAAAAAAATAATTATCGAAAAGAAAGGAATATAATTTTTTAAAGTTGTTTTGGTGTATTTATAATTTGACTTTTATATATAATAGTAAGAATGGGAAAAATGTATTGTATAATCTTTGGCAGTTTGTGAAATCTAACTGCAGTATATAATGTCGTTATGAATTAGGTTTATGTAGCGTGAAGAAGGTGGCATATGAATTAGGTTACAATGGCTATATTGTCTATGATATGAAATGATCTTACTGTTATGCTTCAAGTTTCTTCTCAAAGTCCTAAGTTGATAAAAGAACACATTTTGCCAAGGATCTTCATCAAACATTTAGGGTTTTCTCAATTGTTCACTAGGTATACTAAGATATCTATCCAAATAGTAAATCCTCAAAAATCAGTTATATTTTTTGGTTTCATCTCTCATCAAAAGTTTAATCACCTGCTAAATTCACTTGTTTCAAAATTGGAACCCTTTTTGTCTTCCAAAGAATGCTTATCCATAGCATCTTAGTATAATTAGCATCATCAAAGAATTAATAAAGTGGATGAGAAATTTCATATGGAGGGATGATCGTAATCAAAGGAAAATAAATGGTCATAGTATCTTAGCATATGGTTTACACCCAAAGATGAAGGAAATTTTACATTAAGATCTTTATCAAAACTAAATATTTTTGCTAACCTCAAGTTGTGTTGGGAACTCATTGAATCCAATATCCAATTACAACTCATTGAATCCAATATCCAATATGTAATGTTCTTAATTAGTAGGATCTTTAGAAACAATTCAAGTTTATCAATTGACTTACTTTTTTCTTCTATCTGAAGTGGAATCAAGAATCAAGTTCACGTGATCCATGACAATTTTTGTTGGCTCCAAGGTAATAGCGACAAGATTGATTTATGGCAGGACGCTTGGTGTGGTTCCTCCTTAGTCTAAGTTTGTAATATTCCTCAAAACATACATAATTTTTTCAAAGCTAGGATCGAATATTTTATGTTAGATCATAATTAGAGCATCCAACAAAGATCCTTCAAGCTTATCCTTTTTTACTTCATCTTATCCAACACATCATTGAGTCACTAGTTGGTAAACAAGATCAACTTAAATGAAAACACATAACTTTAGATGAATTCCCTTTTAAATAAATTGTAGTGGAATATTTGTGAGCTTCCTAAATTAGGGTGTCTTCGCCCAAAAGTGGTACTGTCCAAGACACTGATGACGTGTGTAAAACCGTTAGTTAAAGGAGAGGTAATCTACCATCACTTCCAAAAAAATAGGTGGTCAATAACTTATCTTGATCATGATCAGGAAGAAGTAGTTATCACCACTTAGGATTACCCAAACTCTAAGTTCAAATGACCTATATAAATATACCTCTCTTAGAGGAGGACGAGACAGGTCAAAAATCATATTGATTACACCTATCATACACTTATACCTAAGCACATCATTCATCTATAGAGTCTTTCACCTCACGTGAGTAAGACTCCTAAAACGACCATAAAACACCACCGTACAGGGCTTATCGCCGCAGTGGGCAAACCCTAACTACCGTACAACATAATATACCTACTAAGGCCTTTAAGTTCCTCTGCCCTTGTAGGAGGAACACACACATATAATTTTTGACAAGTATAATGGTGCCTTAATAAAAGTAACGTGAGCTACACCATATTCATCACCATCACCCTGCCCATTGTTACCCTTCACTCTTATGCCTAGCCACTTTCAGCCATGCTTAACAGGATAGCTTCACCCCTTACGCCAGAATGTACCATCGGTAGCAATGATGTAGAGATGCCTTGGCGGGAATGAGTGCTGCCATGGATGAGTTACACCGTCATAACTAGATACAAGAGAATGATGTCCATAACATCAAATAGTATCAAGAGGAGTCCAATCCCCTATATGAGATGGAATTGTTGGACCCCTAGCCATCCTCAGATGAGATATGGAGCGCTCATCTCGGAGGACTTCAAACCTCCCTCCTTGGCCAAGTTTGATGGGCGTAGGGATCACTATGAGTATGTTGTCTCCATCAACAGACAAATGACCATCATAGGAGCACCTGACTTGCTGAAGTGCAAGCTACATAAAAGGCAAGAAAAGTAACGCTGAAAAGAAGATGTGCAATTTCAAGTAGCGTATCCCCAATGTCGAAGGCTCACACCACTAAAGGAAGAGCAATTATACCTCCCCCATAAAAGAAAAAATTGTATTCAAAAGGGTAGGTAAGACGACAGAGAACTTCACGCCCCTTAATACTCATCGTGAGTAGATTTTTCCCAAGGTTATCCACATGCACAACATATCTACGTTGCCTCCTCCTAAGGTGGTTGTGATGAGTTATGAACCGAGAAGGCAATGTAAATTCTATAGAGTCAAGGGACACCACACTGAAGATTTCTATCAGCACAAATAGGAAATCGAGAGACTAATACAAGAGGGAGACTTAAGAAATATGTGAAGGGAGATTCCTCCCATTTGTCAGACAAGTCTAACGCGTGAGGGCGAGACGACGCTAGAATCCTTGTGCCCAGAAAATCAAAAGAGGTATCTCAGGGCGATAATAGTAAAGTAGCGTGTCACACGCTTAACACAATGACATAAGGATTCACCAGAGGAGGGGAAACCAACTCTGCCCGAAGAAGGTACACTCACAAGATCCTGCGTGTAGAAAACCTCTCTGAAGTCAAGACCGAAGGAAGGTGTCAAATTCTAGAAGTCACGATCACCTTTTCACATAAATATGCAGTTGGCATCCACCTAATGACAACCTCGTGGTCATTGTCGTCAAGTCCAGACACTGGAAAATTAAGAGAGTTCTTGTTGACCAAGGGAGTTCCACGTACATACTATACTGGGAGGCATTTGAAAGACTTTACCTCAACCCAAAGGATTCGAAACCTTATAGAGGATCGTTGATTGTATTCTCTAAAGAACATGTATAAGTAAATGGATATATCATTTTGAGGATCACTTATGAAGAGCAAGATAAAGACAATAAGATAAATGTTAGGTATTTGGTTATTGATGCCCCATCTTCGTACAACATGATTAAAAGGCGAACAACTTTTAACCAGTTGGATACTGCATTGTCAACTTTGTCTTTATACATGAATTGCCCGCTCCTCAATGGGCGAGTGGGAGTAATACAAGGAGATCAGGAGATCGCCAGAAAGTGTTATGCAAAAAGCATCAAATTGAAGAGGATGCACGCTCCAGACGGGAAAACCAAGAGGATGAGTCTCAAATTAACGTCTCCAGGTGAAATCTGCAAAGGCCAGAAGGCTTCCTCTCCAACCTCTGAAGAGATTGAAAGTTAAAGGTTCATAAGGGTTGGTCTCAATAGACATCAGTATAGTTGTTGTGTATTTTTATTTATTATTGTTTGATTACTTTATTGACAATTTTTATAGGTGAGTATTGCATATCTTCCGATTCTAAAGACAAATTGTTTCGCGGGGTGCACTATTTTCTCTACATGTTTTTTCATAGGGCGGGGGTTTTTAATGAGGAATATAGCTTCTATTATTAAGAATCCATGAGTTTGTCTATTCCTTTCTTTACAGGAAACCTCAAAGATTTAGAGAAGATCGCCCATAGAGACGATCAAATCGTTGGATCCTCAAGTAGAATCCTTGCCGCCCATAGAGGTGATCATTTATATGGATCATTAAGTGGGATCCTTCCCTCCCATAGAGGAATTAATTTAGATGGATCATTAAGTGGTATCCTTGCCTCTTGTCATACCCTAAATTTTTACCCCTAGATTCCGTTATCATTCTATATGCATCAAGCATATGTTATCTAACTTAACCTCTTTCAAGTTTGGTCTTTGTCAAGATGTAGATGAATTAAGGTTTCACACTTCCAAAATCAAGGACCCTGTGGATTGATCAGTCAAGGTGTTGGATTGATCTTCTACAAATTAAGTCTTCATATCATCAAGAGGCTCATATCTTTCCAATAACAAGTACTATGTGAGGTTGTTACCAAAAGAATATGAGCAGTGCAGTGCAAAACCCTAATTAGGGTTTCTAGTGGAAAAAGTCAACTAAAGTTTGAATTTTGACTTAGATGATTTTTCAAGGCTTGAATCATGGTTCATGGTACTCCTATGAATTATTAAAGTCTCCTCAAGAAGTTTGAAAGGCTCAAAGAACCCAGAACACTGAGGATCGATCCTGAAGATTTCAACTGTTTGGTTCGTCTGTTTGGAAAGTCAACACTTTGACTTTTAGGATTTTGACCCCAAATTGAAGCAAGCAAGTTTTCCAACATCATTTTGTGCCTAACTAGTGAGTTTGGTGGAGATTTAATCAAGGATTTATGGATAAATTGCAAATCAGGAAACTACGGTTCATGAAAAAACCCTAATTTTAAGCCAACTTGAAATGATCATAACTTCCTAACCACACATCCAAATGGAGTGGTTCAAAGCTTGTTAGAAATCTCTTGAGGATCCCTGCAAAAGTTTCTTGCTGACCTATGGGAAAAAATGAATGGATTTTGAGTTATGAGCTCATCAAGTTGTGAAGAATTTCAACACTTCGAAACATTTTCATGTTTCTTGACTTGTAAGTCAAATTTATGGTCAAGTTCAAGAGGATTTTTGACATAGTTCCCTTTGGAATTTGAACTTTTGTTAAACATGGAACTTGTAGATCATATTTGGGGATTTTTAAAAAGTATAAGATCATTTTCTCAGCCTTTATGGTTAGGGAGAATCGAAGGAGGCAAGTTGAAGGTTTGTCATGTCACA